AATTTTGATAAACTAACACCGGATTCGTAGTCAGCAATCATAGAAACACCTAAGTTGTAACTTTTATGACCTTCCCTATTTTTTATTGCGCTATGTATGGTATAATTGGTTTGTTTTGAATCTTAGATGTGTTTTTGAGGTTAGGTTCGATATATGGTGGATTCCACGTCAGTTCAACACACTTATTTTCATGACTTGTTGGGATTTGGCTGTACTTTTGTAAATTCATTACTTTTATAGTGATAAACAACTCCACCAAATATTTTTTCAAAATTTTGAAAATTACCAAAAATATGGCATTTTCAAAATTTTTGTCTTTTTTTTAAAGTGTTATAACTTTGGTTCTAATTAACCGATTTTGGATTATAAAAAAAAGGATTTCTCTGGTTTTAAGTATATTTTAAGTTAAAATTAATGTTAAAAAAATTCAAAAAAAATTTTTTTTCGAAATTTTGAAAAATTAAAAATCCGTTTTTGAAAAAACATCATCTTCGATTTTTTTCAAAATTTTACTAAATGTTAGGGCAAATGTGCTTTACATGTCCTGTAAGTTTTATCTTTGGATCTCAAAGGTATTCGGAGTAAAAAAATAAAACGTAACCACATATTACAAACATATGGGGCAAAATTCCTCAACTGCCCAGGTAAAAAAATTAATTTCCTCTAAACTTTGCTAAAATGTTACTATTATTAGTAGAAGTGTAAATATTAATTTTTTTCAATTTGATAAAATATTTTTTCAGTTATGGAGTTTCAAAATTTTGTTTTTTTTGAAAATACACTACCGTCGGGAATTATCTGTACGGCTGCAAGCGCACGTCCCAAAAACATACCAATCTATAAATCACGATGTTTTTGCAAATACAAATGTCAGAAAATTAACAAATATACCGTTCGAAAGATTATTAAATTCTACGATTAATGATACATAACTGAAAATTTTAAACATTTATACAAAGATTGCAGCAATCGACAAATTTGCCAAAAAAATTTTAAAAATAAATTTTTTTGGAAATTTTTAACCCCTACACATTTTTTAAAAATTGTAGAAAAATTTTAAAACTTACATAAGAGTGATCATTTAATTCTCATTTTCAATTTACGACCAAGAGAGTTCAAAAATCTTAATCGGTTAGCGAGATATCATTATAAACGGCCGAGTATTTTCAGCCTAAAATCGTTCAAAATCGACTAATTCAATGCATTTGTCAAAAAACATGCTCGGACGTTTATAATGATATCTCACGAACGGAATAAGATTTTTAAACTCTTTTGGTCTTAAATTGAAGATAAGAGTTGAGTTATCACACTTATGTAAGTTTCACATTTTTTCTTCAATTTTTAAAAAATGTGCGGCGGTTGAAAAAATTTCCAAAAAAAATTTATTTTTAAATTTTTTTTGTCAAATTTGTCGATTGCTGCAATCTTTGTATAAATTATTAAAATTTTCAGTTATGTATCATTAATAGTAGAATTTAATAATCTTTCGAATGGTATATTTGTTAATTTTCTGACTTTTGTATTTACAGAAATATCGTGATTTATAGATTGGTATGTTTTTAGGCCGTGTGCGAGCAGCCGTACCGATAATTCCCGACGGTAGTGTATCTTTTTTTCAATTTAATATATTTATAAGTAAAATTAATCAAATTTAAAGTATGAATAGTGATTTTTAAAGGGTGTTTCACGGGCTATAAGCTGGTGACCTTTTTTCTATGAGCCATGTAAAAATCAGAGTGGGACTATGCGAATTTTTGAGGAAAATAATAATTTATCATTATTTTACATAGAAAATGATGATTTATAATTAATTTCATTAAAAAGTTCCATGGTCCCACTCTGATTTTTACATGGCTCATATGAAAAAAGGTAAGCTTTAGATTGGGATAGGTTACGGAAAAATTAAAAACACCGATTTTGAGATACAGTAGAACTTGGTTAATACGATTCTGTAGGGACCGCACTAAGAATGCGTCTTATGCGGGAAAACGTATTAGGTGGGATATAAAATGTATGTCTTTAATTGCAGCGACCAAGTTAAAATTTCAACTTCTTGAAAAAAATTGAAACTCAGGGAATTTGTTGTTCTATCAAGTAGAAATGTGCCCCAAAAAATATTTTTGATTTTTTCGAAAATTTGGAGGGGGTAGAGGGGGGTCAATTTGACCAATTTTGCTAACACCGGCTACTTTGTAAATTTTTTCTAAACATACTTGTAATGGGAAAAATTTTTTAGAATATGTTTCTGAAAGATTTTTTCGTCCTCTTTCCAATGGTGTATTTTATTTTTTAATATTTTAAAAATTTACCCTATTTTTTGATAATTATTATTTAATTTTCAATTTCCCAAAAATCGGTCCTTTTTTTAAAAAATAAATTATTGCAAACTAAAGCTAAGGTTTTTTCCTGTCGGCATGTAAATTTTCAGAATGCCCTTTTTTTGTTTTTGAATTATTAAATTTCAAAGAATAAATTGCGTCCCGGGCGCCTCGCCTCACGCCGGTTGCCACGCGGCTCAGTGCAACCGCGACGCAGCGCGCCGCAATTTATTCTTTAAAATTTAATAACTCAAAAACAAAAAAAGGGCATTCTGAAAATTTACATACCGATAGGAAAAAACCTCAGCTTTCGTTTACAATAATTTATTTAAAAAAATAGACCGATTTATACTTTAGAAATATGTTACCCTAGTAGGTACAAGTTACTACACCAATTTACAGGTCCAAGGTTTTTTTGTGTACTTTTAAAATATTTTATTTATTTAATAAAAAAAAAATTTATGCAAAAATTTTAAAAAATAAATAGTTTTTTGCAATTTTGTGCAAGTTCGACAGTTTTTATTTTCTTTTTGATAATTTTAAATGAAAGCTTGGGATTTCCCCTAAAAGAAGATATAAGTCTGAAAATGGGCCGAAAAAATTTGCCAAAGATATAGTGTAATAAGTAAAATTTGTCGGTCCGCTCGCGCACTCCAGCGCGATGAACAGTGGGATTTTTTTACAATTTACTATTGAAAATTATCTAGAAACTACAAATTTTATCGGATAATGATCTTCTTGGTCTAAAATTTCTAAGAGATCCATTAAAGTCGATTTTTGAATTTTTAATTGTTTATTTTTTTCCTGTTACTCAAAAATTTGACAAATTACAATATTTTTAGAAAAAATTATGTTTAGAAACATGTTAAAATCATGTTTTTTTATTTTTCCATTGCACACGATCGAAATCAATTTAAATTAGTCTAGTCTTCTTGTGTAAGATTTTGTTTTTAGATAGGTTTTAACAATTATATACATTATAAAGTTGAAATAAATAAGGTTAGTTATAAATATGTTTAAAAAAATTTAAGGCAAATTTCCCTACTGTCTTAATACATAAATAATAAATTTTTAAAAAATTTTATTTATTATTTAATTGCTAAACAAAAATTAAAATTTTTATATGAATTTCAAAATAATAATAGTTTAAAACTAATTATTGCAAGTTCATGTGTAGTAATATTGATTTTACTTTAAAAAAAGAATTAGGCAGCACTGTATGCAAATATAATAATCATAAAATGTAGGGGATACAACAGTTAAGTATTTCAGATATTTTATATAAAAGTAACTTACTTAATCTTTCTTCTTCGTGATGAATAACATCTGCGAGCAATGTTACATTAAGGTCAAACGATTCAACATCATCAATTACATGCATCCCTACTTAACTTATAACTTTTAGCAAATAATTGCAATTCAAATCTGACACTTTCATAGTTGTACTCTGGTTTTGTTGGAACTTTAGCACAAGCTCCATCAATGTGGAGAATCTAAAATATTTAGAAATTAATATTAACAAAAATTTCTAAATTACCTGAGAAATTGGTAAGTAAATTTTAATAATAGTGAGTGTGACGACTACGGGAAGGGGAAGACCAACTGACTTGTCACGTGCGCTGAAGGAAGGGTCTACAGCTGTATGCAAGATTGACACATTCTTATTGAAATCATCGCCGTCAACTCAACGCAAACGAAAAATAGACGAACTAGCGACTTGTGACAATAAATCTAAACGTATAAGCATATCGAAAGATAAAGAATTGAGATTTGATATGGATTCGCAAGAGATATCATCTTTAGAAATAAGAGACCAGCTCAAGGATTACATGGATGACGGATTTAATAGAGTTATAAGTACATTGACTCAACGCATGGACGCTGACCGTGATGCTTTTCAGAAAGAAATTACGGGTATGAAACAAGAACTTTCAAAAACGAATGCGAGACTTGCTGCTCTTGAGGCGAGACCAATTAGCATTGTGGATGCGGACGCTCAGCAACGCCTTACTCATGTTGAATCCTGGATTGATCCAAGAAATCCTGACGGACTTTTTAAATCGATAAACCAGCAACTGAATAAACATGCGAACTTATTGAATATACAGGAGCGTCGCAACCGGGAAAACAATTTGTTGATCAGTGGACTTCACGTCTCGAGAACTAAAATGAAAGAAGAACTTAACGATTTTCTTCTTTCTAGATTTGGATTGAAGGATCAGATAGTCGACGCAAAGATGGTATCGAAATCTGAAAATAAACCAGTGATAGTGATGAAATTACTGTCACGAGAGTCAAGGATGTCAATTCTCAGAATGAAGAGAGAAAAAATTTTCGAAAAACATATTTTTATTAACCCCGACTTAACCCCAGAGGACGCTCGTCTTGATAAAAAGTTAAGAACCAAGGCTCGTGAAGCTAGGGACGATGGGAAGACTGCACGAGTTAGAAATGGTAAAATCCAAATAGAAAACATCTGGTATACCTTAAACGAACAAACCGGACACTTAGAGTGTCAAGGCCGACCTTCAGGTGGAACTCAAGAAGAAATGTCAAAAAACTACTAGCTTCTGGAGTGTCAGTTTTCTTCTGGAATGTCCATGGATTGGGAAACCTAAGAAATGCAGAGGATGGTGGGCAGAAACTTTCTGATAGAAAATCAATCTTGGCGCTATCTGAAACATGGACAGTTGCGGAGAATATCAAACCACCTACTGGCTGGACATCGAGTACCTGTATTGTGTCACCTGCTTTGAAGGAGCGCAACATGGGGCGAGCTTCAGGCGGTCTTGCGGTGATGTTTAACTCTAATTTTAAAACAAAAATTTTAAATAAAACTATTCATTGGCTTTTTATCGAAATAAAAGTAGAAAATTTTAATTTTATTTTAGGAACTTTATATTTTAAACAGTCTTTTGAAATTGAAGTCTTATTAGAAATGCTTCAACCAGTAATTGATGATATATATTGTAACTATAAAGATTCACCAATATTAATAGGAGGTGATTTTAATGCAAGGATTGGAACACTTTCGGATTTTGATCAAATTGCGATTTTTAATTCGGGGTTGTTCAGTAAGAGACGTACCTGTGATATTTTTGTTAATAAAAGAGGCTTAGAATTGAATGATTTTATGAGTTTAAACGGATTTATAGTTTTGAATGGTCGCTCAAGGAGTGATGCTGAGGGTGTATATACGTTTGTCGGAGGGAATGGATCCAGCGTCATAGATCTTGCTTGGATTGATGTAGCTCATGCGGAAGTGGTTTATGACTTTATAGTACATTCATCAGTAATTGATTCAGACCATTTCCCTATTGAAGTTATTTTTAAACCTATAAATCAATTAAAGTCGCGAGATAGAAGTGCTGGGCCCATTCCTGAAGATAGATGTATTAATCGCTTATGTTGGGATTCAAATAAAATAAATGATTATGTTAATATTTTGAATGGTCCTGAATTTGCTCCCCCTGACTCTGATCTGTCTTCTGACGAGCAGAACCGGATTCTGATTGATAGCATCACGAAAGTGGCGAATCTTTCGGGTATGATAAAAAGAACTAATTTGAATTTTAAATCTAGATACAAGAAACCATGGTTCGACAAGCAATTAATTAAACTACAAAAAGAAACAAAACAAAAAGCTAAGGAATGGAAAAAATCAGGGTTTAGTGCTGATGGTAGGCTCTCTTTATGCGCATCGAAGGCAAAATATAAAAATTTGTTAACTAAAAAACGAGTAGGTTACGAGCAAAGTATTCAAGAAAGATTTGCAAGTGTAAGAGATGCAAGATCCTTCTGGTCTCCGGTAGAGATTTGTCGGAGAAAGGGGGGATTTGAATTTAGAGAGAATCCAATAACAATTGAAGAATGGGAGGGCTTCTATGCGTGTATATATCCAGAAAGAGTGAACACAGATGTGAGATATTTTAGTAAAACAGTCCCTGAGTTGGATGGAGAAATCTTGATACAGGAAGTAATAGCAGCGTTAAATAAAAGTAAACCAGGTAAATCCCCGGGTACGGATGGCATTAATGCTGAATTCTATAAGAATTTGCCATTATCTTGGATATTTTTTTACATTCATTTTTTAACAAAATTTTGGATGAAGGGCGAGCTCCTGAGGCTTGGTCTCAATCGATTATTACTCTAATACATAAAAAAGGTTTAAGAAATGATCCTCTTAATTATAGAGGAATTGCATTGTGCAATTACATCTTAAAAATTTTTACTTTGATACTCGCTAAAAGACTTTCCGAATGGTCTGAAAAAAACTCGCTTCTCCCGGAAACACAAAATGGTTTTCGGTCTGGAAGAAGCTGTGTTGATAATGTTTTCACATTGCAGTCTGCCCTGCATCTTCGACTGAGAATGAGTAAGACGTCAGCGTATGCACTGTTCATTGATTTTCGTCGAGCTTTTGATTCGGTATCACATGCTTTATTATGGCAAAAGTTATACGACATGGGAGTAAGTGACAAAATAATTAAAATTATAAAATCTATTTATGATTATGCATCTTTTACCATTAGAATTGCTAATGAGTTTTCAAACCCAGTCGAGGTAACAGAAGGCGTATTGCAAGGTGAAACGCTTAGTCCCATTTTGTTTATATTATTTATCGCAGATTTTGAAAGAAAACTCAGGGACGCTGGAAATGAGGGTCTGAATATAAATGGTTGTGTGGACTTGCTTGTTTCACTTTTTGCTGATGATGCGGTTGTTTTAGCGAATACCTCAGTGAGGATGTGTAAATTAATAAAAGATATAGAAAATTACTGCAATGTAAATGGTCTGAAAATCAATACCTCAAAAACGCAAATCGTTCACTTTAGAAGAGGGGGTAAACCATCATCGAAAAAATTTTTTATTAACGGTGATTCTCTTAAAATTGTAAATTCTTACAATTATTTGGGAGTTGAGTTTTCTAGCTCCGCATTGGGCAAAAAGGCAACTGAGTATGCAATCTCAAAATCTAACCAGGCTTTTGGGACGATAAGACAGATTATAAATAAGGGAAAAATAGATTGCTGGGAGGCTCAAAGTAAACTATACTATAGTATTGACTCGGCAACACTTTTGTATTGCGGGCACATATGGGGATTAAGGTACTTACAAAAAATTGAATCTGCACACACAACACACTTTAAACAATTATTATCCCTTCCAAAATGTACCTTCAATGCTGCCCTGCGTCTTGAGTTGGGTCTTATTAGTTTAGAAATAAAAGTTTTCAAGTCAGCTTATCTTTACATTGTGAAAGTTTTGTCAATGGACAATTCTCGTTTACCTAAAATATGCTTCGAAAGACAGGTGGAATTAATGCGATGCTCTGAGCCAACCTGTGAATATAACTGGGTGGCTCAAGTAAATGTTCTGTTGGAAAAAATTAACATGACGGAATTATGGTCAACCCTTTGCCCCCTCATTTGGTCTGAAAAATTAAGTTTAGCCTTGGGTCGTTATGAGAGGTATTTGAGGTTTTCGGACCTAATTAGGTATGAACAATCCAATTCCAGATTATGTAATTTAACAAGGACGTAAGAAGATAAAGCGGCAATCTATCTGTCTAGGCGACGAAAATTGTATTTAACGAAAATATTTGTGCAGTTAAGATTAGCCTCAAAACACTATATCAGATTTTCATACAAAGGTAATTTGTACAGCTGGAATCAACATGAAGTTTGTACAATTTGCAATCTAAAAAAGAATGAAACTTTAAATCATTTTTTATTTGAGTGCCCGATTTATGAAGGGTATAGAAATTTTTATTTGAAGCAGCTAGAGTTTGGATACGACTTGAGCCAGCTGTGCAATGCGCCTGACGAGAAAAGTTTAAAGAATATTTGTCACTATATAATAAATAGTTTACTACTGCGAGCATTTATGTTAAATGAATGAATTACCAAATAATAATTGTATAAGCGGAAATTCCTGCTACAAAATGTATAATTTTTAAAAGCAGAAATAAATAATAATAATAATAATAATAAACTTGTGTTTTCGTTTACATTATAAAGTTGAAATAAATAAGGTTAGTTATAAATATGTTTAAAAAAATTTAAGGCAAATTTCCCTACTGTCTTAATACATAAATAATAAATTTTTAAAAAATTTTATTTATTATTTAATTGCTAAACAAAAATTCAAATTTTTATATGAATTTCAAAATAATAATAGTTTAAAACTAATTATTGCAAGTTCATGTGTAGTAATATTGATTTTACTTTAAAAAAAGAATTAGGCAGCACTGTATGCAAATATAATAATCATAAAATGTAGGGGATACAACAGTTAAGTATTTCAGATATTTTATATAAAAGTAACTTACTTAATCTTTCTTCTTCGTGATGAATAACATCTGCGAGCAATGTTACATTAAGGTCAAACGATTCAACATCATCAATTACATGCATCCCTACTTAACTTATAACTTTTAGCAAATAATTGCAATTCAAATCTGACACTTTCATAGTTGTACTCTGGTTTTGTTGGAACTTTAGCACAAGCTCCATCAATGTGGAGAATCTAAAATATTTAGAAATTAATATTAACAAAAATTTCTAAATTACCTGAGAAATTGGTAAGTAAATTTTAATAATAGCCTGTGAACCAGTTAAAAATATAATTAAGAAGTAGAATGAAATGCAAAAACGTTGATGTTTGTTAAATTAATTATGAATAGGAAATTTTTAGAGAATTCAAATAGTGACGTCACATATAACCACACATTTCCAAATAAGATTTAAAAAAAATTTAAAATGGCGGATTCAATATGGTAGACATTAAATTAAAAAAATTAATTAATTTTTATGAAACTCTATATCAGGTGTTTTTTTGGAGTCGCTGATTACGAATATGAAGTCAGATTTTAAAGTTCAAAATAGCGGATTTAATACGGCAGACATTAAATTAAAAAAATTATTCAATTTTCATAAAACTCTATATCAGGGGTTTTCGGAGCCACAGGATTTAATAAAAATAGACTTTATAAGGAATAAAGTGACACCATAACCAAACCCTTTAGGGAGAAAGGGCTCAAGTGGGCTGGCACAATGAAAAATACATATTCCGTATTAAATAATCTAAATCCAAGTTTTAAATCGTGTCCAGGAAAAAAATAAACTCATTTTTTTTGCACATTTTTTAGTCGCCAATAATGTTTATTACAAAATTAATAAGTAAAGGTTTTTACGTCATACAATTATTTTAAAATATTGAATAAACTATTTTTATTTGTAAATGTCTCACTTTAAGCTATATTACACATTTAGGGATCCAAAAACCTAAAAATTCTCTTTAATTGTTTCTGAAAGTTATTCCCTACATACTTGCATATGTTTAAAATAAGAAAAAAAATCATTTATGTAAAATAAAGAAATTGACTTTTGGTCACTTTTAGTAGTTTCTGGCCCACTGTGCAGTGGTTCCGAAGTAAGTGATTTTTGCTTTGCTAAGGCAAGTAAGCTAGCAAGGCTCATTCGGGATTACCGAGTGAAGTTCTTTGATTGGTTCGCATCTGAAAAGGGATTTCTATACTTAAATTCGATTAATATAGTTTTCACAACAAACAAAAAGCATAAATAAACATCTCATTTTTATTAATTAAAATAAAGAAACACACAGTCATCATGCTTAATCTAAGCTATTTTAAAAAAAAATCAATGTTGAAGAATTGCATTTATGTTTAAGATTATATCTTTCAAAAAATTAAAATTGTATGGTCATACAAAATACTTACGACAAAAAAATATTTACTTTTTTTTGTTAAAATTAAAATGGGCAAAAAGGAGCATATGAGAGTTAAAGTATACTATCTAAGAAGTAATTTGTCATATTTATCATTTAATTTGGTGGTGGAAATCGAGGTAAACATTAATTTAAATCTAGTCACATACGAAATTCTATCTATAAATATTTAAATTAATGAGGTGTAACTTCATTTCAAATTAATTAAGAAGGTGCAATTATTGATTAACAAACTTTTATCTTATATGTGAATAAAAAAGTGCTTTATTATGCCATTTAAAAAAATTGTAAATAAAAAAATGCTGTTAAAAATATTTATAGAACGCTAGAAATTAAAAAAAAAATTATTGTTCGAAGGGTTGTATAAATAATTCTTCTCAATTAAATAATATAATGCAAAACTATTTAAGTGTTTGATTTAAAAAAATGTATAGAAATAAGTAATAAATAGCTAATCTATTTTAAATCAAGTTAAAAAATTGCCTTTTTGACCAAAAATGTAAGTTCCTGGCCCATTGTGCACCCAAGAGAAGAAATTTTTTGTAAGATCCATAAATAGTGCAAAGAAGGTTCAAGCACATCTAGCTATCAAGCAGAATATATAATAATTACTCGCAAATTTAGAAGAAATTCAAATTTGAGGAGGAGTTATTGATGTCAATAAATGGACACAAATCCACTGATTTTGTATATGTTCTTCCTCTCCTTGTCTGCTACGCCATTGAGGCATTCTTTAAATTGTATTCTTTATATGTCGCAATTCAACTGCTTCTATTCTTTCTGATAGATTTGTACATTGAAAAATACCGATTGCATCCGATTTTAAAATCTAACGTTATCAACTGTAATTTCGATTTAAATTACCTGACAATGAGAAGAAAAGTATTTTGGATTTGCAAATGTTTTTAAGTAGGACAATTCTCTCATCGTCTAGGGCACAACAATTGTCTCACAAGTTGGTGGAAATTGTGATTTTACCGATTTCCAATTTATGAATCTGTCGGTAAACCTGTCCAACAGCAATATCGCCTGTTAGAGGCCCATCAGTATGATTTAACGAAGCACGAATATTAATTGCGTTAATTTCAGGTGCATAAAAAGTTTCGTTTCTTTCACACAATCGTTTATAAACTTGCTGAAGAGTTAGGTGTGGTTTTCTAATCAATTTTCTCAATGTTGTCATGATGTTCTCATAAGGGAACGCACTAAGTTTTTCATATGGACCTATCTCTTCAACATCTTCAACAAAATGAATCATTGAGTGCAAGTTGTGGGAAATGAATTTTTCTCCATATAACTTTACTGATAATGTCACGAAACTTCGAAAAAGTTCTTTGCAGAAATGATACATTTCTCTATACGTTTGATTTGAAATAAGAAGACGCAAGGCACACTGAAGCATCATAGAATGTTCATAATAATCCGGATCGAAGACATCTTTTAGCACAGCAGGAGCAATATAAAGCAACATTTCTTCTGTCAAAATTTCACATCTATTTTTGCAGTGAAAACCTTTTTTACAGTGCCTAAACAAACGGAGTGCATAATTTCGAATGGGACTTATTTTACTAAATCTAAAACACCGACTAAAGGACTTCTACCTTTATGGTGATCGTCATCAACAGCAAGTTCATAATCACGATGTGTTCGCGATACATTATCCAGGCCTAAAAATACTCTTGTTTTATCACTTCGTTCACCCTTCACTTTATATTTTGAACAAGGATACATAGAGTTGTGTCCATAATGGCTTACAATGAAAGCCCTAGCTGGAGCATCTGCAATAAGCGATCAGACAACTAAGGAAAGCAGCTGATTCCTAATTTGAATACCATCTTAACGGATTTCATCAAACTCTGCAACTAGTTTTTCATAAAAATCATAAACATTTAACGGTTTAGTTCTTCCCCTATAAATTCCCGCGATTATTGGGATCTTATCCTCTATGTTTACAATGTAATATTGGTGGGGCCAAAATTGACTTAATCCTTTGTCTACTTTTGCACCATCAGTAGACAAAACAATTTCAACAAATGGTGTCAATTTATCAGGAGGTAGTTTTTCTAATCTTTTTTTATAGTTGCCTTTAAACCGAAGTGTAAGTACTCCCCAGCTACTATTTAATCCACACGTTTGCTAGCAACATCTGTAGGAGTATTCAATATCGTCATCGTATTTTTAGGAAAGTATATCAGATTAAATGAAAACGATCTTAAAGTTTTCAAAATGATGTTTTCTTGAGTGTTTTAA